AGCGCCGCCCGAGCCGCTTCAGTCCCCCGCCTGCGGCCCTGGCTCGTCGCCGCGGCAGAGAACGTCTCCGCGTCGCGCCCTTTGTCCCCGCTGGTCTTGTCCTCAGCAGCCCGATGCGGGACTGAGCGAGCGGGCACGTCCTCTCCTCCTCGCCCTCCCTGGGCGCTGGGAGCTCGACGCCTTCCCGGCTACTGGGGTCCGGCTGCGCCCGAGGGGATCGGTTCCCCTTCCACGGGGACGGGGGCCCCTCAAACTACACACCCTCTCCCAGGGGAAGGCGGCCGGTGTCCCATCAACCCAAACCCATGCACCGTTCGCCTCACCCCAGCAGGCTTCCAGCACCTGCTGCCTTGCGCCCGCCTCTGCTTCTGGGATAGGAAGGGATTTCAGTTCCCCAGGTAGCAGGGACTAGTGGGCAGAGCTCCAGGCTGGGAACCGGGGGCCCCTACGGGCTGTTTCTGGCTCTGACACAGATTCCTGGCATGGCCCTGGGCAGGCCACTCCCAGCCAGCCCCGGGCGGCGAGGCATAGGTGGTAGCAGCAGCAACGGCCTACGCCCCAAGGTCCCCCCCACTGGACACCTGGGAACCACAATTCCCAGCCTGGAGCAGGCACACTCGGCCCTGGCCCGGGGCAGGTGGAGAGGCACCTATCTCCGGCCTCCGTGAAGATGCTCGGGGCGGCCGGGTGAGCGAGCTCCCCCTCGTCATTCCCACATTCGTCCCGCTCCAGCAGGGTCATCAGGTAGCGAGCTAGGAAACAGCCCGTTAGGAACCAGGAGCAGGGGCGCCAGGCAGCGGCTCCCCATCGCTGAGAGCAGCAAGCACCTGCCTGGGGCTCTAACGCCGACACACAGCAAAACGTTGCTGCACCGGGGCAGGGCAAACGGTGGTGGAGTAGGAGAGCTACCCTGGAGCCAGGCCCTGCACAGGAGCTGCTCCAATCCCCCACATCGGGGCTCAAGCATTCAACACGGCAGAGACCCAAAGTCATCAAATCCCCAAGCGGGACTGACCCCGTCCGTACATTCCCGGAGCTCTGCCCCACCCGGTTGGTGCTTCTCCCCATCCCTTGACTGTTCCTCCCTCCCGCAGATCCGGCCATACTGGCTTTCCCTCCTGAGGATCAGCCCGAGCTGCTCTCAGGCCTCATCTACACCAGCATGTTTTGTTGCCAGACAGCGAGAGCGTTTACACTGCACCGGACTTTTTTCTGGGAAAACAGCCAGTTTGGGAGACAAAAAACTTCCGGCCCTTTATTGTCTGTTCCCCTCCCTTTATTGTCAACAAAGAGCCAGTGTGGACTCTGCTGCTTTTGTTGAGAGACCTGGCTTCCCTGAGTATCCCACAAGGCCTGGCTGTGCTCAGTGTTCTGTGATCTCTGCTGCCCTGCAGGCATGTGCCACTATCCAACCTAAGACCCTCCCCTTTCAAAGCTCCAGGAAGCGTCTGACAGCTGAGCGAGCTGCTCCATTTGGGGAACAAACAAAGAGCAAATCATTCGCGTGCTCCTGTTCTGCCGGGCGAGGAACCCAGTGGCAGGCAGGCTGCTGCTGCAGAGGGAGTGCTGGCGAGACGGCCGTACTGCTTGGACATTTCTCGGCACCGGGAGCTCCCAGATCTACTCATGATGCTGCTCCCTGCAACTGAGGAGACTGTGGGAGAATTTGGAGAGACTCCCAAGAAGCGCAGGGATCAGCTCTGCCTTCCCACCACACTGCACTGTGGGATGCCTACCCACAATGCTTTGCTCTGTTGAGAGGGAGCTAGCTGTGTGGCCACGAAATGTCATCAATGGGAGGCAGAAAAACCAGGTGGACCGGTTTTCACTGTTGCCGCCTTTTGCCTGTCGACAGCACCTGGGTTGCCAAACCTTCCCCATGCGGCCTCAGTTTCATCCCTCCAGACGCCCTTGGGCCGCGTCAGGTAAGATCACTCGCCCCACGGGGGCAGCCCGGCGTTACACCCCCATTCGGTGCTCACCCCGCGCCAGCGGACTCGCCCAGCGAGAGCCTTGACAGGCATAAAACAGAGGGGCACCAGCCCCTTTGGAAAGCCTTCAGGCTGCTTGTCCGGAGGGCCCCCACGCAGTCACCGCCTGGACTGATGCGCTCTCCGGGATGGCCCAGAGGGAATGACTGACACGGGGGCAGCCCGGCGTTACACCCCCATTCGGTGCTCACCCCGCGCCAGCGGACTCGCCCAGCGAGAGCCTTGACAGGCATAAAACAGAGGGGCACCAGCCCCTTTGGAAAGCCTTCAGGCTGCTTGTCCGGAGGGCCCCCACGCAGTCACCGCCTGGACTGATGCGCTCTCCGGGATGGCCCAGAGGGAATGACTGAGGGCAGGGGCAGAAG